TAATTGCTGGGTAATTTGTATAGCGCAAATAAAAATTGGAAGCTGGAAGTACCGACTTTGGAGGTGCCAGGATAAATTAGTAACATAGTGGTTGTTTCATTGAATTGAAATTTACTACGTAAATCGCACGTAATTCTTATGTTAAACGACAGAATATTTTGTCATGATTTGTAAAAGTTTCGCAATGAAAATTTGCACTTATAATAAGGAGCTAAAATATCAAAAAATTACTTGCCCCGTGTTACACTTTAACAATACTGGTTTGCACATAGTTCATACTTAATAGTTCAATTTAGTGATTTCATGAATTCAACAATAGTACATGAGTATTTAATCCTTCCATGTCCAATTTAATTTTGTTCCAAATATGAAACACAACTTTGTATTTAAGTTACTTTTTAATTACCATTTCACTTTTGCTTACAGAAAATTGTTAATATTTAGTTTTAGAAATTGTTATTGGAACATATAGTCCCATAGGTCTTTCTGGGTATGATAAAACTTAACAATGAAAAGAATGTTTTGTTTGTACTTATAATTTTGAAACAATATAAATAATCCAAACATTTATTATAATTAAATCAATATTTTTAAATTTTGGAAAAGCAGGTATCAACGCAAAGAGGTACTTTGCATTCCTATCATATTGTGTCTTTTCTTTTCTCCGTTTGCTACTCCTACTGCCATTTTATAACTACAACATACGTATCGTTATAAATATAGAAAGATCTCTGAAACAATTTCAGATGCAATATAATAAACTAAATAATTAAAAAGAAACACTAAAACAATCTAAAATGCAAATAAAAAAGGAAAACCGTCAAAACCGGAAAACTTTCTTTGTTGTAGCGACGAGAAAACAAAAAAAAATCGCAAACTAGTAACCGCAATAATTCATGAATACACATGCAATGAAACAGCTTCATATTACACGTACGCAATTTCTGAATGGACCTGAACGAAAGTATTCTGCTTCCAAAAAGGGGCAACAACGAGCTAATGGAAGGCTCGTAGAAGGGCCTACAAACACGCAGGGGGAAGCAGAAAAGCGTATCCTGCACTCTTAACGAAGTGGTTTTGTTAATCATATTAGCTTCCGGAGAAGATTTAATCCTCCCAATTTTTGTCTCCGTGTCTCTGGACGTAATAACCCGATTTATTTAATCAAGGTGAGCTAACTTGGCGTGCGCCGCTCCACGGAGGCGTGGGCGGTGGACGCGGGCGGCGGCAAAGGAAAATTCGTCGGAGGCGGAAACACGGGGATAGTGTCATGGTAGAAGAGAACGAAGGAAACAATGAAATGTGTAGCGACCTGACTTTCGGAAGGGCTATGGACGTAGGAGTGGTGGAGTGAAGACAAAGAAGGCGAGGTGACGAAGCGAAATTTGAAGCAGAAGAAAAGCAACATTGACGTGAATAAACGCATTTATCGACGAGAAGCAACGCGGCCAACGAATGGGTGTTTGCCAGTGAAAATAATTTTGGGATGCCATAAAGAGGCGATCGACATAATGATACAGAAGGAACAAATGGTTTGAAGTTATGCAGCATGACGGGTTGGCGTGGGACTAGAGGGACTAGGGGCGTGCGACTAGGCGAAGAGGATGTTTAATATGCGGAAGTCGAGACAGGTTTCAAGTTTGTTGGGTAAAGGTAGGGAGGAAAGGGAGAGAGAGAAAGAGAAAGAGAGAGAGTGAAGGAGAGAGGAGAGAGTGAAGGAGAGAGTGAAGGAGAGAGGAGAGAGTGAAGGAGAGAGTGAAGGAGAGAGTGAAGGAGAGAGTGAAGGAGAGAGTGAAGGAGAGAGTGAAGGAGAGGAGAGAGTGGAGGAGAGACTGAAGGGGAGAGGAGAGAGTGAAGGAGAGAGGAGAGAGTGTAGGCGAGAGGGGAGACTGAAGGAGAGAGAGGAGAGAGAAAAGAGAGTGGAGGGAGAGAAAGAGAGGTGAGGGAGAAAAAAGGGACGATAAAATGATGTGTTGAAAACCAGTTTGAACGTTTCATGGGCTATGCTGTAGCCATTTTTGTAGAAAATAATAAAGATCACCAGGAACGACAACGGAGTCGCCACGGAGCAGGGGGTGGGGGCGGGGGCGGCGGACGCCTTTGTGCCTGCAAATGAGAGTGCGGGGTCTCGTCAAACGCCGCGTCACGCCGCGCATCCAAGAAACCGGGCGGCCCGGTTAGTTAGAGGACGTCCCAATCTTGTCCCCGCGTATTTGCTCTGTCGCCGCGCAAGATTAGTGTTTGCTCGCGTCCACCGCCATTGCCCCGCCTTCCTCGCCCGCCCCTCGCCCTCGCCCTCGCCCTCGCCCTCGCCCTCGCCGCGCGCGCAGACGAGGACGGAGAGGGTTGGGGATGGTTGAGGCAGGACGGGTCAGGGCGGGGTTGTTGCGAGGATGGGAGGGGGATAGGCGTGGCGCCTAGGGCTGCGTTCTGCTAGAAATGCTTCGAAGGGAACGGCTAGATGGAGCGAACGCAGGAAAGAGGTTCAAAATGATGTACTTTCTGTTGACAATCTCTATTCCCCAAAGAACACAAAAGTCGCTTCTTATGTGTGATCTACTTTATCTTTAGTAGAATTCATACAAAAGTATTCCCTGTGTGTCCACGTTACTTCAAGAATATACAATTTTGGAATCGTTTTCAATTCGTAGGGCGGTAGCTAAGGTAGTTAGGCCATCCTAGTATCTTTTTTTTTACTTTGCAGTGCCCATTTGTTTTATACGACCCTGAATGTCATTCGATACGCAGCAGTCAAAGTTTATTTTACCGTATGCGTTAATTTATAAACAATGAAGGTAAGTAGCTAGTTGGTAGTCCATTCATTTGTGAAAATATAGATGTTACAAACGGTTACTACTTACAAACAAGATACATTTTATCTTATTCGATCTCTCTTTTAAGATTTTGACATATTTTTAGCAGTATGTTAATATGATTAATGGTGTTAACTACAGTGATGCAGCAAATTTTTATTCAGTACAATCTCATAGCATCAGTTAATAAAGCAAAAGTAATGACTGTGAAAAGAAACGAATCGGTGAGGACAGAAATTGTGCTTCGAATATGGTTTTACAACAAGTGACCCATTTTAACTATCTAGGGCAGGACTGCACAGCATTTTGCACTTTGGTTGACCTCGAGAGCCGCGCGCGAGCAACTTCTGTGCAAACCCCGGCCACGTCAACCGTGCAGATAAGACTCCTTCTAGAAGTGGGGGACTGTCAATAATAATGTGCAATTCGATCCATAGCGAATAAATCGAAAGAGCAATTGCGCCATAAGACGATAAAGAAAATGATGCTAGTGTCATTTCCGGCAAACTCTGTATTTTCAAAACTTTTGAAGGATTGAAATTTCAGAATTACAAAGTTCAAGTTAAATTTGTGCTTTAATTAGAATTTGCTAGCTCTTTAAATTGTTTGTTTAAAAATGCTTTTCGTCTTCGTGTAATTTCGGCATTAAAATAATGAAATTTTAAAAACAATATTCTCAAAAACTGCTCCAACTTTTTTCTTTAAACTTTCCCACGGATAAATCAAGGAACGTTTAAAATGGCGCAGCTCTAATATTCGTTGAACATTTTGAATTATCGTAAATGGAAAATTGAGAAATAATGCAAGAAACTTTGTGCTGATGTAATACCACTAGGTTTATAATTTATATCTGACAAATCTAGCAGACACTGAGATTATTAAGAAGACCGAGAAACAAGTGAAGTTCTTTAGCACCAACGAAAACATGAACCAAGGGTTTAGGTTATTCGCGCTACTAAAATAATATTTTATAATAGCTCCCTAAAATAGCGTATATACGTGAATCTAATGCGCACCTTTTTTGACCAACTGCAGTCCTCAAGAAAGTGGTGCGCACTAGTTTCGATGGTGCAATAGATCTGAATGCAAATTCGTTCCGTAGAACGCCAATAACTTCTATTTTTATTATTTATTACGTCACAAAGGATTGCTGAAGTTTTCATATTCAACATTTCATTTATCATGGGTCTATTATTGAGGGTTTTTAGTTACGATATCGAGGGCAGAGAGAAGAACGTCTTATGATGCTTGCAGTAACAGTAGCAGTTAGAATGGTAATTATGAATACGTTAAATCTACTGTATTACACACTAAATTTAAATAAACTACCGTATCTATTATTCTGTCATTGATGCGCATTACATTCAGTACCAAACCTTTTTTCATAATTATACGTTTCAAATATGGTGTGCGTATATCATTCAGTGCTGCATTACATTTACGTAAATACGGTATGTTCTATCACTATTTCTGTTTCCGTATTCTTCTCAATGAAAAACTCCATTATATTCTTGGCCCTGCTGAAACTGGCGCCCGACCTTCGGCTCTCTCGGCTCCGCTTATTTATCCACCCCTCTCGCTCGCACGCTAGGTTGCAATTATTCTACACACTATTTAACACTTTTCTACAACTGAGGGGAAGAAGTTCACTACTACCTGATTCGAGACAGTCAGCTCGCCCAAAAACCACAACAAAAGATGAAGACGGCGATGCTGGCACGAACAGATTCTCTACTCTCTGAATACAAGCGAAGCCCACAATTCTCTGAATTTAACGGGAACGTATTTGCGATAACAGAATGCCGATTCCAGCCTAAGTGTCTCCGATGCAGGTAGACTATGTTTCACCTCCTCAATCGCCAGTCACCGATATCTCCTATCGTGATTAGCCTTATATTTGGAGATCACGTGCGTCCCTCTGCCAGGTGTTTTAATTTCAAATAATTTTCTCACGAAAAGTTTTTATTTAGTTGGATTTATTTTGCAGGTTACTCCAAATATGAAAACCAAATTTTCCAGATCAGAACTAAACCATGAAGTAAAAGCCGTAAATCAAATTCCCTCGATGTTAATTATATTTTCGTGACTGACACCAGGCGTTTAACTTCACGTGGCTGACAACATTCTCTTCTAACTATTACGAAAATCATCAGAAATGCATATGATATCTTGTTAGATTGTATTTACCTCTATTTCTCGAGCCAAATGTACGCGCTGCATGCCAGTAGATTCGTTCGACGTGCGCTGGCCAAGTTGTTCTTATAGGAAGGCGCGCAGCCCGACCTAGCCTTTCAGTCCTCACCACAACGAATGACCCCGTTGCGGTTTCAAGGAGTCGAACCCTGGTCGCCCGTGATTGGTTGAGATTTAGTGACGTCTAGGTTTGGTCGTCTGGTGTGCAGAGGTGGATGTTCTTTGCCCTCCTGATCGATTCTGAGCAGAATATATAATGCGGGGTCGTTAATTTTCGATTGCACGCATGTTTTGACAACAAGCAGTCACATTATAGATCCACGATCCAGGAAAATCTCCGAGAAATGTTGCTGATGCGAGATAGGACTACAAACTTCGTGAAACTTGATACCTTGGCAATATAAAAATATTCTTATAATGTGATCCAAATACTTGTATATTCCAAATAATGAAATGGAGAAATATTTGAACATGTGCAAGTACAACTAACACGTATTATACATAAATAAAAAATGCATCTTTTTTTAATTTATCTGGCTTGATGCGATGCAAATTTGAATATAATAGTTTAATTTGAACGTAAGCTATATTTGAAGGCTGAAAGTAATTCGTTTCTTTTAATGATTTTATTTCTTTTCTATAAATGCCTTGGTCAAAATAGGCTCATAAGTGTGTTAAAAGTTGTAAATTTGAGATTTTTATTTTAATGAGTAATGTAGAATTATAAGTAAAGATGTATTTATTTATTTAATAGGTAATTATTACAAACGAATTAGATTACTTGATCCTATGTGGCTAGG